GGTGTACATACTGTTGGGCTAACTTGGATTTATAAACTTCCAAAATGTCTTGGATCAGATAAAGAAGATAAGGATAGTCTGGGAACTTGCAACTGAACAGAAATGCCCTGTAGAACACATCCTTTATACAGAGCACTGTCATGCAGGCAGCCAGCTCCAATTCAAAGGCTGGGCTCGCGATGATCTGCACCACTAGTGCCTGCAAATGCCTCATAAGGCTTTTATTAAGCACAGCACATCCAGTATTTCCTCCCCTTCGTACCCAAGAAAATGTTGAATTGGTAGAGTATTCCCTCTGAATTCTGGCTAAAACCCCAATTCCTTTGAAAAACACATTAGAAGCACTTTGCAACATAGTGTTGAAAATCTAGCATTTTTTAAATCATCTGAAAAAGATATGGCTCCCGAAGAATGTCTTCATCTCATCAGCAGACCCATCCAGGTGTTCAGAGAACAGTACATTCTTAAACAGGACTTGGCAAAGAAAACGACTCAGCGGTAGGTCACATTATTATGTGACCAAAAAAAGAAAAAACTAGAAGATCTTGAGAGGAGAGGAAAAGTCTGTGAGAAATGGTTGAGCACTTAGCTGACAAACATGAGGAAGTCAAGGAAAAACAAGAATATATCATGAACAGGATGAATAAAGTACTTCAAGTTTTTCTTCTCAGCTCCCAGATCTCTCTGATAGCGAGAGAGAAATGAAGAAACAATTACAGCTAATACCTGAGCAATTTTTGACATTTGGGCTCTGCCATCAAACAGGTTATTGTGAAAAAAGACTATTAGCAGCAAAAGATGGAAAAGGCACTGAGTCCTCAAAACCCCACTATTACTCTTAGCACCTACTAACCAAGGAATGTTCAGTCCATCCTGAAGGTGGAGGGTGAATGTGTAGGAGACCTGCTGAAGCAAATTAATGATACCTGAAATTGTGTAAATTTCTGACACCACCAAGAACACAGTCAAACCTGAAGTTAAACAAATGAGGGCTTAAATTCATATTGTAAAACAAACAGGTAGCATTATTTAATTTATAAAGAGGTATTTGGATTTAAAAAATTGAAAACAGGGACTGAAATAGATACTTATACACCAGTGTTCATAGTGAGTGGATAAATGAAATGTTATATATATATATATGAATATATATGTTATATATATATATGAATGATATTATTTAGCTATAAAAAGGAATAAAATTCTAATACATGCTATGAGATACATAAACCTTGAAAAATCATGCTAAGTGAGATAAGCCAAACACAAAAGGACAAATATTTTTTGATTCCATTTATCTGAGGTACCCAGAAGGTAGAACAGAGGTTGCCAGGAGTTTGGGGGAGTTAGTGTTTAACAGGTACAGAATTTCTGTTTGAGATCAGGATAGTGTGATGATGACACAAATGGTGAATGTACTTACTGGCATAGAATTGTACACTTAAAATGGTTAGTTAAAACAGTAAATTTCATATTACGCATATTTTACCACAGTACAAAAATATTCTAAAAAACATGCACATGCGGTTTTGCAGTCTTGCTTGAAGTCCTGTGGACCCTGCATGCGTACTGCGCCTGAGTGGCTGCACCCACCGCAGGTTTTTCAAACAGAAATCTTTCACTGTTCCTGAGTGCCTTTTGCTCAGGAACAGCTTCAACTGCTCAAAAACTTAATGGCAGTTTAGATGCACAATGGAACCAGTGGAAGGCCATACACAGGAAACTGTGTGGCTTGAATGAAGAAGGATGGAGGAGAGCAGTGTGGGAGAAGAATATGAAAATGATCAAACAGCATAACAGGGAATTCAATCTAGGGAAACAGAGCTTCGCCATGGCAGCGAATGCCTTTGGTGACATGACCAATGAAGAATTCAGGCAGGTGATGAATGGTCTTCAAAACCAAAAGCAGCCCTGGCTGGTGTGGCTTAGTGGATTGAGTGCAGCCTGCGAATCAAAGTGTCACTGGTTCAATTTCCAATCAGGGCGCACACCTGAGGTGTGGGCCAGGTCCGAAGTAGGGCAACCACACACTGATGTTTCTCTCCTTCTCTTTCTCCCTCCTTTCCTGTCTGTCTAAAAGTAAATAAACAAAATCTTAAAAAAAAAAGTACAAGAAGCTGAAATTCCCCTAACTGTGGACTGGAGAGAGGAAGTCTATGTAACTCCTGTGAAGGGTCAGAGCTACTGTGATTCTTGGGCTTTTAGTGCAACCGGTACTCCTGAAAGACAGGTATTCTAGAAAACTGTCAAACTTATTTCACTGAGCGAGCAGAACCTTGTGGACGGCTCTCAGTCTTAAAGCAACGAGGGCTGCAGTGGTGGCCTAATGAATATTGTCTTCCAGGATAGTAAGTCCCGCCAGGCCTGGACTCGGAGGAATCCTATCCATATCATGCAAAGGTTGGATCCTGCAAACACAAGCCTGACAATTCTGTTGCCAATGACAGTGGCTTCATTGACATTCGTCAGAAACAGCGGCCCCTCATGAAGGCAGAGACAACTGTGAGGCCCATCTCTGTTGCTACAGAGGCAGGCTATGGCAGCTTCAGGTCCTACGAACAAGGCATTTATTATGATCCACACTGCAGCAGTGAAGACCTAGATCATGGTGTTCTGGTGGTTTGCTATCGCTTTAAAGGAGTAGAATCAAATAACAATAAACATGGGATTGTCAAAGGCAGCTGGGCTATGGCTTGGGGCAAGAATGGCTTCACGAAGATGGCCTAAGACTGGAACAACCACTGTGGAACCGCCACCCAGGCCAGCTATGCTACTGTGTGAGATGCTGGTGACAAAGAAAGACTTTCATTGAGAACAGGATATCCAGAGGAGGAATTTTGTCTTAAAACTGACCACATTTTAGGTTGATCAGTAGCAGGAGCAGAGAGCAGCAGACCTTCAGAGAGCCCTGAGCAGCCCCATGGCCACCGGCCCAGTTACCATCACACTGCGCGGGAGCTGCAGCTGCAGCAACTGACCCCAGTCACCATCACTGCAACAGTGAGCAGTGAGGCCGAAACTCAGCAGCTGCCCGTACTCTTTCCTGCCCCCAGAGCCCCATCCTCAACACTGTGTACACTGAGCCCAGTAGCATGGGCAGCAGTGTAGGGAGCAGCAGCAAGCAGCGTCACATTGGTGGGACGAGAAGATCATTGCAACGAAGATTTTGGGAACACTAAAATGGTTCAATGTAAGAACAGCTATGGTTTCATCAACAGGAATGACACTAAGGAAGATGTCTTTGACCACCAGACTGCTACACAGAAGAATAACCCCAGGAAGTACCTTCACAGTATAGGAGATGGAAACTGTGGAGTTTGATGCTGTTGAAAGAGAAAAGGGTGCGCAGGCAGCAAATGTTACAGAACCTGGGTGAGTTCCAATGCAAGGCAGTAAATATGCAGCAGATCGTAACCATTATAGACGCTATCCATGTTGCAGGGGTCCTCCACGCAATAACCAGCAGAATTACCAGGAGAATGAGAGTGGGGAAAAGAATGAGGCATCAGAGAGTGCTCTTGAAGGCCAGGCCCAATGGCGCCAGCCCTACTGCAGGCGACGGTTCCTACCTTACCATGTGAGGAGATCCTATGGGCTTGACCACAATATTCCAACCCTCCTGTGCAGGGAGAAGTGATGGAGGTGCTAGATCCTGGAGGTTCTCCAGGGTACGGGAGAACAGGGTAGACCAGTGAGACAGAGTATGTATCAGGCCTACAGACTACATTTTGCAGGGACCCTTCTCACCAAAGACAGCCTAGAGGGGACGGCAATGAAGAAGATAAGGAAATCTAGGAGCTGAGACCGAAGGTCAGCAGCCACCTCAACAGTAACCTTAATTACTGATGGGGACATCCAGAAAACCCTAAACCACAAGATGGCAAAGAGACAAAAGCAGCAAATCCACCAGCTGAGAATTCGTCTGCTCCCAAGGTTGAACAGGGAGGGGCTGAGTAGATGCCAGTTTACTGTCTCTACCATCATCCGGTTTAGTCATCCAGCCAGAAGAAAGGAATATGAAATTCCAGCAATAAGAAGTGAACAGAAGATTGGAGCTGAAGACCTTCAGTGCTTGCTTTTTGCCTGTTGATCAGATAAGTAGAACTATCTGCATTATCTAGGCAGCATGGGGTTTTTATTATTTTTACTTAAAGATGTCTCTTTTTGGTAATGACAAATGTGTTTGTTGGTTTTTTTTTAATAAACCTGTTTTGTCTCAGTACACCTTTAAAGTTTTTTAATTGTTTCATATCGGGTCAAGCTGAGATTTTTAAGAACCTCATTTTGAATTTGTGATAAACGTTTACAACTTAGTATTTCCTCAAAAAGTCAACAAACTGCAAGCACCTGTTAATAAAGATCTTAAATAATTGTTAACACACACACACACACACACACACACACATGCAGAACAAAAACTGGCCACATTTTACTGCATGGAATAAAACACTTGAATCTTGAAGATCCAAGCTGTGATTTGAATTCTGTGATGTTTTACACTGGTAAAATGTTACCACTTCTTTAATTACTGCTGTAAACAGCTTTGTATGACTGACTTGCCTAATAATTTTGAAATTTTATGTTTTAAAAGTATGTATAAAGCTTAACCTCTTAAAATAAAATTTAATTTTATATGCAACAAAAAGAAGTACACATACCCCAGCCTTGAAGAGGCTAATCAACTGAAGCAGTGAATATGGGTTGGGAACCTGGAATCGGTATTTTTGAAAATGCCTTCCTGTCTTTCTCAGGCATGGCTACGTTTGAAAATTTAGGATTTAATCTCTGCCAGTTCTTTCTAAGAGAACCGGTGGCTCTCTGTGAGGAAATGTTCACCAAACCATGTGAAATATGTGTGTATTTTTATAGATCTAAGTGTATAAAACTTAAAGGGCTGTTTTTAAAGTCTGAGATCACTGTGACCACTCATGGTAAGATGCCCACTCATTTAAGTGATGCTGACAATCATTCAGTTTGCTTTTTATTTTTATTATTTTTTTCAGGGGAGAGCATGAACACAGTCCCCCACAACAAGTTATGCAGTTGAGTTTCCCCCACTTGGGGAAATCGTAGGGGTCAGCACAGCCGGAGTGCAGTGGGTGAGCCTGGCCCTGGGAAAACCACCACTGTGATCACAGTATCTCCCCTGCCAGGTAAGTGTAATAGTTCAGGCTGTACTTCACAAAATAAAAAATGAGCCATCCTAAATTTTTGGAATTTTAATGGTTACTGAAATTCCAAAGTCTGGGAAACTTTGCTCCAGACACCAACATTTTGAAAATAATGTAGTAGAGACTATGTCTGCTATTTATTTTATTTGCACATAAGAAGTAGAAAGGACGAGTACATTCTCTGTTGTTCATAGGATCCTGGAGCAAAAAAATGGCAGAGTCAAAATTGACAGCATTAGGATGTTATTTCTCTTGCTGCTTGTTTCAGTGTTCTTCCTCAGCCCACAGGAAAGTTAGACCAGGAGGACATAGGTGAAGGTGGGGCCAGGAAGGTACAGAACAGTATAACTCTTCCTGGAGAACTGACAGAAAGGAAGTTGTCTGGTCTGGGACAGTGCCTTGAAGGCCCTCCTCATCCTGCCCAGGGGAGTTTGGGAGCTGAGGGAGGGCAGGGGCTGAGGAACAGCCATTTCTGGGGGATGCCTTGGCATTCCAAAGAGTGGAGCAGGGGGGCAGAGGGGAGGGAGTGCTCAGTCTTTGGGAGCCCAGCCCCCTCCTTTAGGCGGATTAGTTAATTACTGGAAAGCACCTCTGCAGCAGGAAGATCTGGAGACACCGCTTGTGCTGTTGCTCAGGCCTGTGTGGGAGCTGGCATTTTGGAGACGCCAAGGCTCTTCTAGGAGGCTGTGCAAGAAGAAACAGCTCCTTCCTGCTATGGGGCAGTCCTTTCAGAGAGACAGTCTCGGAGAGCTCTCGTGCCGTGCAATCTGTTTCAAGAGGGAAGCTGAGTTTATTTTGTAAGATATTTGAGTAAATGAGCCGCACCAGATTTTAGTTTTGTTTTCTATTTTTTGTAAGTTTTTAAAGTTTACATTCAAGTCATTTATACATAAATAAGATCACGCAACATGTTCTGTTCTGGGATTTTTTTTTTCCTTTTTACTTTAACAATGTTCCCTGTAGCTCTTCCTGTGTTGGTGCATATAGGCTTCCCCCATTAACAGCCACATTCTTCCCAGACTGTGCAGCTGTATTACAGTTTCTGTACCTACTATTCTAGCACAGGACACAGCTGGTTTGCTTTTTTCTTTTTTTACCACTACAGACAACATTATAACAAATATTCTTGTATACAAATTTGTGTGCATATGTGTATTTCTAAAAGATATATTCTGAGAAATGGAATTTCTGGACCAAAAGACATGCACATTCAATTTTTGGTAAATAATATCAAGGCTCTCTCCTAAAATTCTGTTCTAATTTAGATAGCTACCATCATACTCATCAACAATGGACATTATCAATTTTTTTTCATTACTAGCATCATGTACAGAAAAGGCTATGTCATTTTAAATTTCATCTCTATGATTTACTAGTTAGATTGTGCATCTTTTCATAAGCCTACTGATCATTTGGATTTTTTCGATTTTTTTCTTGAATTATAAAAATACAAAAAAGGTACTCAAGTCATAAGTGGACTACCTAAGGAATTAATACAAGGTGAATTCTTCTTGTAATCACCACCCAGATCAAGAAATAGAATATTATCAGCCCTTCTCCCACTTCCCCCAAAGTAGTCACTGTCCTGATACCTAACCCCTATAGATTAGTTATGCCTATTTTTGAACTTTGGATAAATGGAATTAAAGAGCATGCACTCTTTTGCATCTGGCTTTCTTCATTCAACATTATGTTTATGAGTCATTCATGTTCTTGCCTGTAACTGTAATATATTCACTTACATTTCTTATTATATTCCATTATGTTAATATACCACAATTTATTCACTGATGGACATGTGGATTATTTCCAACTTAAAGCTATTAGCTAATAATGTTGCCATGAACATTCTTATGCCTGTGTTTTTGTATATATGCACATAAAGTTCTATTGGGTACATATCTAAAAATAAAACTTGGGGTTATGAGCAATGTTTTACCAACCTACCCTGGCCAATTATATTTGTGAATTTCCTATGAATATTCCTTGCACATTAAATATTGGGTTGTTTGTTTTTATTATTGATTTGTATGTGCTGCATTTATTCTGGATATTAATTCTATGTTATATCTGTTGTAAGTATTTCTCCTAGTCTTTAGTTATATTGCCTTTTACTTTACAAAGCTTAAAACTTTACACAGTGAAATCTGTAAATCTTTTTCTTTATGGTTTCTGGATTATATATCTTGCTTGGAAAATCCTTCCCTATGTCAAGGTGATAAATATTCTCTTACATTTCCTTCTAATACTCATTTTATTTTGATTTTCACTTTAGGCTCTTTGATCAGTCTGGAATTTATTTTGTGAGGATGAGAGACAGAAGCTAATTTATTATCTAACACTTGGGGAATGAACAAAATTATACCATTTGTTGCCTAGATTTTTAAAATATTTATTTTTCAAACTCTCAAGACAGATGATAACACCAAAGAGGTAAGAAGCCATAAAAAGTTAAGGGTTTTTTCATTTGTTTGTTTTTACTGTGGGACAGCCTCCTCTACATTGAGTCTAAGTTAACATCTCAATAGGCACATGCTCTAGATTGGCGGTTGGCCCCCAAACTGCCATGCGTACGAATGGCCAGTGACTGACTAACCATTCACCGAATATGTATGGAACTTCAAAGTGCAGTTCTCACAGGCTGTGTGTCCAACGAGGAGGAAGACTCCATCCTGACACCCTCCAGGCAGCTGGGCTGCACACCAGACCTATGTCGGGAAAACCACAACTGCTTCTTCCCTCCTAAAACCCCATATCCTCCCAATCTGAGTAGATACCCTGAAATGGATTATGTGCTCTGAGCTCATCTCCAGTATAGACAGAGGTCCAATTCGAACTTTATTGCAACCCCCAGGGTCAGCTTTGGTTTACTCACCTGACTTCCCTAGGCAAGACTGCCCGCCTGAAGGAAACTACTTTCTTGGCTGGCTTGGTGATGGGTATAGAGTCACATATGGAAGAAGTGTGAACTCAGTCCATTTTCCCCCTTTGTCTAAAACCAAGCACTGGCTTGCCCTGCCTATTAACTTGCAGCACTCAGCGTGGAATTAATTGGTTGCATACATATTCTCCAGTTGCTCATAGTGTGAGGTGGTTTTGTCCAGCTTGCCCCTCCTCTTTCCTTTTTCCTTACACATTTTTGGGAAGGTTGATTACTTGAGATTTAGTTGATTACTTGGAGCTTGAGCTGGGGTGAGGAGAAGAAACGTCCCCTTAGCGTGACAAAGAGCTTGGTTTAAGACTAGTGAGCTGATGAGCAACTGTGAACTGCTTAGCTGGTTTTCTTGGAAATTGCTCTGCTGGCCAAGCTCCAGAAATGTAATCAAAAGTGGCCTGAAATCACACATTTTACTGCTTGCATTCTTAGCTTTGCAATTTAAAGATTTGGCTGGTGCCTGTCCTGAAAGCACAGAATTCTCTACTGTTAGTAGCTCATGTCATTGAGTGTGTGCATATGTGTGTGTGTGCATGGACATGTGCAGTGCACAAGGGCTTGGGCTTGTCTGCACAGGCATGTTTTGCAGCTGAACTCTTTACGTCTACTGGGCAGCAGTGACTAAAGAACAGTTTTCTTTGATTTCAAGAATCGCACATCTGAGTTTGTAAGTCAGTGTTTGGGGGGAAACACAGTGGAGAATCTTGCATGTAAGTGTAACTGATCCACTAAGCACAGGACCTTACCTCAGAAATATCTGAGGATAATTAGGGGAATTCACGTACCATTTTTTGGAGGGACAGGTATGTTTGGCCACACATTGGAGGAAGTGAAGACGTGAGCTTTAAGGAAGTCAAGTGTGAGACTACCACAAGCAGTTATTTATATCAGAATGATGTGTATTGAAAGCAGAAGACTTTCACTCCACCACTGTCACCAAACTTTTTTGAGAAGAGAAAGGACATGCATTTTGCCCTATTAAACATCTACTGCACTAAGAGCTTTTGATGCAGTTCAGATTTCTGGCAATCTGTACCCAGGCTCCATTGTCAATGAATGGGATGCTTGCACTCTTCCTTCAGCCTACTTTGCAAATCAAGTGGCTTACTTCCAATTGATTGATAGATGTCTGACTTGATTCTTGCTTCCTTTCCCAAAATGCCACCCCCCTCCTCATGTGAGCAGCCTGGTATGTAATTGTGGAGGGAGGGGAATGACTTTTCATTATGTCTAAGTTCAAAATAAGGATGCTGGACTCTAACAATGACCAAAAACAATACCCTAGGAACTTTCATGTTTGCTATTATAACAAATGAAGCCTCACATAACTAGTGTCCATTTTTTATATCTCTTGAGTTCTAAAGTCTGTCCCCCCCATCTCATCAAGCTCTTCTGATTTGGGGGAAGGAGTGCATTTTGGGACAAACATGTCCGAAATATGAGGGAGAAACTTGGCAGTGGAACAAATTATGTGATATGCTTGACAAGAATTGAGAAACAATACATTGAAGATTTTCTGAGACAGTCTTCAATTTTAGGTTCATAAATGACACTAAGAAGCCACAAAAGGGAAGTACCTTACAGCTTCATTAGGGCCATTAACAGTTAGTTTTCACTAAGGAGCCAACAGAAAATACTTCTGCACAGAAAGATGAGAGGCCTGTAGGAGGAAAACTTCGTCCTGCTTCCGCCAGGGGTAGATGGAGATTGGAAGGAGAGAACATGTGGTTGGTCATTTGCTTTAAGTGGGAAGACTAAGGAGATAGATGTCCCGCAAGCAGAATACAGAAGACTCGAGCAGTGAGGAAATGCTAGGTGGCAGGAAGCACGAGCTTGTTTGCATAAACGTTGAGATTTTTCTGGGCTTGCCTAATCCCAGGCCTTCAGACCTTGCCTTTTATGAGGGCAAATATGGTTTCAGAGTGAGCAAATATTAGTTCACATAATTAAAACCTGTTGAGTTGAACAGGAAATATTTAAGAGAAATCTGCAGGTACTTGCAAGCAAGGGGGACAATAGCAGAAACTTGGTATGTCGGCTCCTTCTCCCCAGGGTTGTCCCTGGAATGAAGCCGCCAACGACAGGAGAGGAAACAGATGGTGTGTAAAAAGTATGAGCAGCATGGAAAGGTCCTGAACTTATTAATAAGCTGCTAGCCCTGGAGAGAGTGTAGTAGGCATCTGGGGTATTTGCATGTTTGTTTATTGGAGGGAGGAAGGCTTCTCACAACTCTCTTTCTCTCTAATTCATTCAGGACGTGACATTTCCAAGACTACTGCCATCTGAGGGTTTGAATCTGTTTTCAGCTTCCCTCCAGGTTTCGCCATGCATGTTAAAGAAAGACGTTCCAGGATGACATGAAAAAGGAAAGCCAGTCGACTTGTAAAATGCCACCTCGCACCATGGATGGGCCATGTGACTTCTCCCTCCACACCACACCACAGTCTCTCCATTCCAAGGCCTGGTCGCATCAGGACAGAAACCCTCATGCCCAGGCTTTTGGTGATGAACGGAAGGCGTGCCCTGCTCAAACTCGGCCTGAATTCTCTTTCAAACCCAAGTGGAGACACATGGGTGTGTAACTCACCATAATCCATGGTAAGATATGATACATGCCATGAGAGAAAAATAAACAGAGTGCTGATGGAAAATTAATCTCATTAGGGAGATTTGTTTGTGGTATATTTGAAAGAACCCTGAAAAACGAGTAGGATTTTGACAGATGGGGAAGAGTGTCCCTGGCATTATTATAGTATTTACATTTGATAACATCTAAAGGGATCTGGACATGCACAGGGCGCTTTGAGCTTTTGCAAAGCCTAGCCTCAGCACACTATCATGCTGGCAGGAGCGTCCCAACGAGTCTTTGGAAGACCATCTTTTTCCCACCCTCAACCTAAGTGGTTTAAATGAGGCTGACCTCACCTCAGGCTCCAGGCTTAGGCATGTGACCCACACTAGCCAGTAAGAGAACCATATTTCCTTAGTTTGCTGATTGGCTCAAGGATGGGCATATGACCCATGCTGGGTGAGTCCTGATGCTTTTTCTGGAACCACTGGGGAAAAGGCTTCCTCTTTCTGCTCGGGTTTCTGCACTGGTAGAGTGTAATTTAGGAGCTGCAAGGGACCTATTTTGCTACCAAGAGGGAAAACCTGAGCTACAGAGAAATTCCTGAGCACCTGGATTTAGTCGTTGAAACTTCTGTTGGGCTTTTTAGTCACTCAAGCCAATAAATTTACTTTTTCACAAGCCATTTTATGGTTTTCCTCGGCAAACAAAAAAGTCTTCGCCAAAATAAAAATCTTAAAATAATTTGCACAAATAAGCAAAAACAACAACAAAAAACAAACCCAAACACACAACAAACAAAAACAAACAAGTAACAGAAAATACACAGACAACTGTGAGGGTAAGAGGGGGTGGCAGACTCACAGAGCAGGTTACTAGCAAAAGGAAATCTAACTATTGCTAACGTTTTTCCAGGTCAGCTTCTTTGGGCCCCAGTGACTTAGATATTGGAAACTTTATTTTTAACCCCCCTGGTCTGGCGCCTCGCACCAATATAGCTGACTCTCGTGTGCTGGATATTTTTCCATGAATCAGAAATGAAATATGCAGCGCTGGAGCCACAAAGCAATGAAAACAGCTCGTTTGCTTTTCGTGTCTCTCCAAGCTCTGTTCTCCCTGGGTCACACGTCGTAAGTGAAGAGTCGCAGTGATAATTCAGTTTGGATTTATTAACAGTTGAACAGATGATTGAGAGAGGCTCGTTAATCACCAGAGGCGAATCCACTGCTGGAGCATGGCAAACAGAGAGTGGGACAACTGCCTCGAGCCAACTAATTTTCTGGCCCTTCAGGGAAAATTCTTGGATGTTTAAGATCAAATGCCACATCTGGAAATGTGGGAAGGTGATTGCTTTTATCAAATGCTTATTTGTCCTTGGTACTAAGAACAACACATTGCCTGCATTCCCTTAATTCCATCAACTCCACCTGGTCGGGCCTAACCCTAATCCTGTGTCACAGGTGAGGAGCGAGGCAGGTACTCCCAGTTGCTCTGCAGCATCCATTTTTTCACTGTTCCCTGCAGAGTCAACCCCACACAGGTACTGCTTCCGGTCCAAAGTTTAGTTTCTCAGAACAATTACTGTAGCCTCTTCAGCAGTTATCAATGGCAATGTGAGTCCATGCTGGCCAGTGAGACCTGAGTAAAAGTCTTCTGGGAGACTTCAGGGACAGTGCTGCTTTCCTGATACCGGCATTGCCTTCTCTTCCCTGCTCCTTCCTTCTCCCTGCCTGGGACATAGAGACGAGGCTGCTGGCAGAGCAGTCCAGCTGTGGGGATGTGGAGGACAGCTGTGTTCTATGGGAGGTGGAGCAGGAAGACAGAAGGAAACTGGGATATTGCTGACATCGCAAAGCCACTGTTTCTGTCCTGGAAGCACTACTTTTAAACTCTTAATATGAAGAAAAAAAAACCCAACATTATTTGTTTAACACAGTGAAGTCGGTTTCCGTTATAGGCAACTGAATGCAGGAAAACTGAGCTGAAGGAGTTTAAGGGACTTGCTCTCACTTCCAAATAAAGAGGTACCTCAAAGACAAATAAGATGTAGTATCCACACTTAAAGAATTCAAGCCCAGTATGGAGGCAGATACATAAAGAAACAATTGCAATATAATGTCTTCGGTGCAATGAGAGTGGTTTGGTAACCTGTAGTAACTCACAAGTTACCATGAGTGCCTAGGAGAAAAAAAAATCAAATGGAACAAAAGTGGAACAGAAGTTAACCAAGCAAAGGAAAGAGATGGGAAAGGGAGTTACAGCTCAAAAAAAAGTAAGGAAGTGAGACACAGCATAGCATATACAACAAGCCACAAGCTGGTGTGAGTTGCTGGAGCGTAACGTGTAAGGCAGGCAATGGGGAGAAATGCAGCTGGAGAGGTGTTTCATTTAGCTGTTGCTGCACAATAAGCTACCCCCACAATTCAGTGGCTTAAAACTACATTTAGCATTTAGCATGATTGCACAATCTGAGCTGAATTCAGCTGGGTGGTTCTTCCATTTGTGGAGTATCTGTTGGGGTTGGAACATCCAAGAAAACTTCTCAACTTCCATGTCTGGGATACATGGGATAGGTGGTACTGACTTTGCATCTCTCTCTCTCTCTCCCTCTCTCTCTCTCTGTCCACCCCCACCCCCAGCGTCCCCCTTCCCTCACCTCTCCCTGTGGATAGCTAGGACTTCCTCAAAGCATGATGATCTCAGGGTGGTTGGACTTCTTACATGGTGGATGGCTTCTCATTGAGAGAAAGAGGAAGCTGCCAGTGCATTTCAGATCTTGGCTCAGAAGTACCAGAACATCACTTCCATTGCACTCTGTTGATCAAAGCAAGTCACAAGGCCAGCCCTGAATCAGAGAGAGGAAGTAGCTTCTCCTTCTTGATGGGAGGAGCAATAAACACACACAGGGAGAGATGAATTAACAGTGGTTATCTTTGCAGACTCCCACCACAGAGATAAGAAGGGTGCAGATGAAGGACAACCTTGTCTGCTGGTCAGGTAGGTTGATGTGAACACCAGATGTAGAGGATTTGCTCTGTCTCATATTTGGGATCTGAAAGGAGAATACCTTCCAAACTGCCCTGACCTATCAGAGTAAAATAGTTGTGTGATTGGGCAGAGGAAGGGCTGGAGTTCAACTTCCCTGTGGCATGGACAGCACTAAGAGGTTCCCATATGTCATGGGAGATGGTTGAGTTGAGAGTCAGAGAGCCTTCTCCGGGGTCTGATTTGATGAAGGGCAAGGTGAGCCCATGACAGAGGTTAGGTGGGCCTCTCAGGCTGCCGGCTGGAGGGGTGGCTGACAGAGAACCCCCAGAGTCAGGGTGGCAGGGGAAGCTAAGCAGGCTGAGTCCACCCGGGAGAAGGGCTGAGGCCCTGGCTAAGCCGAGGGTCCAGAGGAGGAGCCACCCTGCAGCAGAAACCGGTGAGCATCTGGAGGATGTGGTAAAATTGTTTTTGTCCCAAACTGAAATTAAGACAATTTGGGAAGACCCAAAACTACAAAGTTGCATTTCAGACATATCAATGTCTCTAAAGCTTTTCTCCAAAAAAAAAAAAAAAAAGTAGATTTTGATTATGGTATGAAATCTATTGATAGAAATGGTAAAATGGTTTTGGTTTTCTAAAACCAATACTATATTCAAAAGTAACACAGCTATGAAATAAGATAATCAAGAAAGGAAAGTTTTCATATAAAAAAACATTTGAATGAATCAGTCCAAACTGTTAGGGCATTTCCTCTGAGATGTTAGAATTGCTTTCTGAGTGCTTTTCTTACTAACGCTTTGGAACCCACTTACATAAACTGTAACCTTCTGGCCCGCAACACGTGCCTGTAAGAATAGGCATGGGCAAATAAGCTCATGGCTTCTGTCTCCACTCAGTCCTCAGACTTCCACAGGCCTGCGCGGGGGCTGTCCGAGGGCCCTTCACTTGACTTCTCTGCTTCCAGCCTTTGAACGCGAGCCATCTCAGACAGTGGGGTGCTTGTTTTCTTTCAAGGACTCCTCTGAAAACCTCCCCTCCCTTTTGGTTTTGGTTTTCTTATCTCGAGCATCTGATTTTTTTTTATGTCCCTTTAGCTCTCAGGACCTTCACTGCTAAGCTACCTCTTATTCTGGGCTTGTCCTTCTGGGGTTGGTAGTCCTGTCCCAGACCTTCTGTCCACGCCTTATTCTGGGCCAGGTATTAACAGCCAGCTGATCGGATCAATAACCTGGGGGAAAGGCTGAGGTCTTCGAGTTGAATGTGGTACTTTTCACAGGTAATATGTTTACATTTTAATAGTGTCTCCTGTGGGGAAGAGCTGTTCATTTAAAGGGGTCTCCAGGCATTGAATAAGTTGGTTTGTGTTGAGGGTGGGGTGAGGGGAAGGTTGTCTGTCAGAGAGGAGGAGGAGATAAAGGAAGAGGACAAGGGGGAGAAGAAGGAAGAAGAGGAGGAGGAGGCAGAAATAAGTGGCTCAATGCAACAAAAAGAACATAGAGAGTACCTTCTATCCCTTCCATTCAGAGGCTAACCCTACTAATATTTTGTATAGATATGAATCAACATCTTTACCTCTAGAAGTCAAATTGAAACACTTCCATAAAACTCAGAAATGGCATACATGGTTTCCATGTGTACCTTTTAGTAACACACTCCTTGTTTCAGTAACCCCACTTCTAGGAATTTATCCTAAAGAAAAATCTAGAATAATAAGAATAACATTAGCTATCACATACTGAATTTTAATTGTGTACCAAGAACTCTACACACATTGGCTCATTTAATTCTTATGCCAAGACTAGAGAGCGGAAAACGTCATCCGTTGCCTGAGGCTGCAAAAGTTAAGGACCTTGTCCAGAGCTGGCAGGTTGGTCTGGGACTGGGGCTCAGTGTAGGGGTGGGTACCCCAGGAAAAGACCTCATCCACTTGGACCCTGTCAGAGATGAGTGTAACTCCTTGTCCCAGAGTCTCCTGTTCTCCCCCAGTTCTCCAAAGGCCCTGGATGGGGCGGGGCAGTGTGACCCGAAGTCTGGCCCTCACCTTCAGGGGTTGGGAGGCAGCAAGTGGCAGTGCCTCTTCCATGAAGCCTTCCCTCAGTCTCTCAGACCAATTCAGTCTCTTCTTTCTCTGTTTCTCTGATGCTTTGGAGCTACCTCTGTACAGCACAGAAGATACCCTACTGCCTTCCAACTCATCAAAGTGTTTCTCAAAATGTGTTCTTACGCTCCCAGTCAGAATCCTCTGGGGAGCTGCTAAAAGCACAGACCGACCAAGTCATCCACTGGTGATGGAGCCCGGGAACCTGCATCTCACAAACACGTAGTGGTGCTAGTAGCCCACTCCTCAGAGTGGGGCTCTCGCAGGGCCCTCTGCGTTCCCCAGTGCACTCAGCACCGCGATGCCCAGCAGACACAGTGTTTGGTGAATTCAGTGCAGAGATGAATTTCTTAGGAAGGAAATGAGAGAGGGGGAAGTGGAAAAAATGGGGTTATGGGTGTGGAATAACTAAAGAGGGTGTAATTTGAGAGCTGTTGTAGGAGAGTAAATAAAATGGGAACTCTCAGGGCTGATTTGGGGTGCAGACTGCTGAGATCTTTGGAGTGCTACCATAGAAATTCAGTCAACACCTCTTCCCCTCCTTTTTTTGCTCAGACACATACTTTAGTCATAGGAATTTTTTTTTTTGAAACCTGAACTTTCTATGCCAGAATGAGAAATTGTGTACAAAGTGGGTCACCAGGAAGTGATAACTAATGCACAGACTATTTTAACTGCTGATCAGAAATCTCTACATTATGAAATATGCAGGAAGGAAAATAAGCAGATGATAAGAGTGAAAGGAATCCTAAATTAATATTTTCACAAACAATTCTGGCCCAACATATGTCTGGGGTGGGGGTGGAGGAACAGAATAAAATTGCTGAGCCGGAAATTTTTCCAAATGACGTGGGACCTCCTGAGGCACATGACCACCCGATCCCTCAGCCCGAAAGGCGCTGGCAGTGTCTTGGGGTCATTTCAGTTACTCTGCTTCATAGCACAGGCAGGCAGGGCTTACAGAAAGCAAGGACAAGAAAAAACAAAACCCACGTACAAAATTTAAAATCTGGTTCCCACCATTTTGGTTTAATTTCTTTCAGAGATATTTTTTATTGTGGCAAGACATATATAACGTAAACAATCACCATTTTAACCATGTGTGAAGGTAAAACTCAGCGGCCAGTAAGCACATTCACAATGTTGTGCAACTGTCCCCACTGTCTCTTTCCAGGACTTTTCATCATCCTAACGGTAACTATGTACCCGATGAGCAGCAGCTTCCCATCCCCCGTCCTCCAGTCCCTGGTAACCATCCTTCTACTTTCTGTCCCTGCACATTTGCCTGTTCTGGGTACCTCATATAAATGGAATCATAATAGTTATCCTTCTGCGTCTGCTGATTTCACTTAGCCTGATGTTTTCAAGGTCCACCCATGTTGTAGTATGGACACCAGAATTCCCCTCCTCTTTAGGACTGAGTAATTTTCCACTGCACATAGCCCGCATTTTATTCCAGTTCTTCACTTGTGTATACCACTGGACCACCCCACCCCACCACCCTGCTCAGGCATATGTGGGGACAGAATTTGTTTGTAAAAATATTATTTTCAGATTCCTCCCACTGCTATCACCTTCTTATTTTCCTTCTTTTATAATGTAGACAGAGATTTTCAATTCAGCTGTTAAGTAGTCTGTGGGAATATCACATTTTGTCGATCCCTTCCTGTGGCGATGGACAGTGGGGTTGTTTCTGCTGCCAGCTGTTGTGAAAACACTATCAGCACTGGTGTGCAAGTGTCGGCTGTAGTCCCTGTTTTCAGTCCTTCTGAGTATATACCAAGGAGTAGAATTACTGAGTTATATGGTGATTTTATGTTTCACTCCTGAGGAACCACAAATTGTTTTCTCTGGTGGAACTCTATTTTACATTCCTACCAGTAGCACACGAGGGTTCCAGTTCCTCCACATTCTTGCCAATATTTGCTCGTTTCCTAATAAAATAATGGTCATCGTAATGGGTGTGAGATGGTATCTCTTTGTGGTTTGGATAGATGTTTAAACAGAAATCATACTGAAGGCACATATTACAGGCAATTTCACATAGTTTAGGTTTTTGAACAGAAACTAGGAATCATAATGTACTGAAAATTATATGAAGTCATTCCAGAAGGTATCTAGCCATGCAATATGAAAAATAGGGACATTTATTAAACAAGATACAAAAACATTGCACATAGGATAATGATGCCTCAGTTCCCTTCAAAATAGGCACCTTGGGACCTCACACAGTTCTCGCAGTCACCATCAGCTGCCTCATCATATTTTCCTGAATCTCATCAATGATCTGAAATCTCTTCCCTTTCAAAGGTGACTTTGGCTTGGGAAAAGCCAGAAGTTGCAGTGTGCCAAATCTGGGCCATAGGGGAGCTGTGTAACCTGAGTGATTTGATGTTTCACCAAAAAACTCTGTATGAGACATGATGAATGAGCCTGCCCGTTGTCATGATGAAGCTGCCAATCATCAGTTGCCCATAGCTGCAGCCTTCTGAATCATCCAAATAGTTTCTGCAGAGGAATGTTCAAGCTTAACACAAAATCTGATGCAGATTTGTTGCTCTACCAGCTCAGTCATTTTGAATGTGACAGCCACACAGTACACATGCTCACTCAATGGCGTCTACTGTCCCCACTGACTAGTACAGTGAAGTCATCATTGTTCACACATACTCATTCCAATCCTCTCTCCTTGGCTGCCAGGTTACATTGATGTCGTGCAAACTGTTCTCATTATATTAACAATGGCTGGGCTTTTTCCGGACAGCCTTCAAACTAAGGCTATTTGTAATTCATCTTATTATGCACAGTATCTTTTTGTTTATCCTGTTTTTGGTGTAAAAGTCTGCATTGTTCTATATTCTCATCTTGTGTTTTAATGTTTCTTCCTGATACGAGTTTCAAATTGTATCCAATGTTTTAAAAATAATTTTTGTACATGACTTTCAAAGATGTTTTGGCCTCTGATGACAATTGTTATTACTTCTGGTATCCTACTGCAGCAGACTTTGAGGTTGTATAGACTTTTTTTTCTCATTTTTAATCCTCACCTGAGGATATGTTTAATCATTTTATTTTTTAAAAAGATTTTATTTATTTAATTTTAGAGAGAGGGAAAGAGAGAGAGAGAAACATCAATGTGTGGTTGCCTCTCCATGCCTCCCACTAGGGACCTGACCTGCACCCCAAGCGTGTGCCCTGACTGGGAATTGAACCAGTGACTCTTTGGTTCACAGGCCAGTGCTCAATCCACTGAGCCACACCAGCCAGGGCTGTTTAATGATTTTAGAGAGAGAGGAAGGGAAAGGCAGAGAGAAAATTGATGTGAGAGAGAAATATCAATTAGTTGCATCCCATACACACCACAGTGGAGGATCAAACCCACAACGTAGGTGTGTGCCCTGAGAATTGAACCCACCACATTTTGGTGTACAGGATGACACTCCAACCAACTGAGTGCTCAGCCAGGGCAAGAATCTTTTGATTCCATTGTTATGTGGCATCCTGTGGTCCTGAGGAACAAAGATAAGAAATTGTTTCTTTGAAGATAAGCCACAGTTTTTTTTTCTTAAAACACTTAACTGTAGTCAAAGGACAGATCGAATGTATTGAAATACTCTGTTAAATGTTAATTTTCTTTGGGCCTACCCAAAAGATAAAGAGACATTTGATAAAGAGACACCTTTCAAGAGCACTTTGTCAGTAAATATTTGAAAGCCTCCTATCAACCAGCCATTGTGCTGGGAGCTAGGTAACACCGGTGAGTGGACAAGACTCAAGCCCCAGGTATAAGTTTGCAGAAAGGGATAGTTCCATTGTTTCTCCTTCCTGATTAATAACTGAAGAGACAACTCAGGAAAGTTCAGGGACACATTTGGCCTGGGACCAAATTGTATTTATCGAATTGATTTTTTACACAAATTTCCTAGAAAGATTTGTTAGTTTATTAGAGATACATACTATAATGCTAACATACAGAAAGATAGAAACAGGACCAATAAGTAAGGAAGGCAGCAACACACTAGCTGTAAATTGAGTATGTTTGACACAGTTCCTGTTATGTAATTACTATGTTATTAAGTTTGACATAGACTCTAGGGATGCATTTGCCTGAAAAAACAAAACAAAACAAAACAAAGTTGACATAACCAAATTAGAGGCTCATTTACCTCAAAGAACCAGAACCCTGAAATGAATTATGCAATCCAGGGCTGGGGCAAAAACTCTTTGTTAGGGCCCCAGATTCTTCATGTTTCTTCTCTGCCATCCCACCTTCAGATGTAGCCTTTGTCTTTGTGCTGGCACCTTATGGTCCCAAATTGGTTGCTGTACCTCAAGGCAGGAGGAAAGGGGAAGGGCCAAGAGGCAAGAGCTTTCGCCTACCTCACTTTTTTATTCTGAAAGGAATATCTTGTCAAGAACTATGGAGAGTCTGAGATTTCACCCTATTAACAAACTAAAAGTTAGTCTGCCACAGTTTCATGGATGCTGGCAGAAGTCACGAGACTGCTGGGTCAGAGGTAAAGGACTTTATTACCCACAACACATCAAGTAGCAGGAGTATCAGCATTATTTGTAGCAGTTCTCCTTGCCCTCAAGACCCAAGGGAGCAACACAAGGAGGCCCGCAGGAATGCACTACAGGAGAAGAAACTAAACTTAGGAAACTCAAATCTTGCAAATGGTCAGTAGGTAAGCTTGGCCTTTGACCTGGAGTAAAACAGTATCTCTGTCTTCCAGGATTTGGAGAGGCAGTATGCCTCTCTTCCAGGATTGTATGCCATGCAACCATCCTTGGGAAGAGAATGTAAAATGAAAGATAGTGCCCCTGCTCGCAAGATAAACAGATACTCAAGAGACCAGGGAAAATTGTCTCCTAACAATACCCTCCTCAGGGACTTCTGCCTGAATACTATTGGCCAGAACTACATCATGTGGCCACCTCGAGCTGCAAGGGAGGGTATGAAATTGAGTATTTTTGGCTGAGCACATTGCTACTCTAAATAAAATTGTGGTTCTGCTAGTAAGGGAATGCAAGCGAGGCATGGAGCTTGGCAAAAACTGTGCACAACTATCTTCATCTGTGTTCCTGATGTCTTTTCCCCAGTGCATAACACATTTTATGACACTTTATTTATTGAACCTGCCAGAAATAATTTGTACAACTTAGAAGAAAACTCCTAGTTAAGTACCATTTTACATATTAAGCCATTGGTAATTTAGTGCAGAATTTTAATGTCACAACTGCATTACATATCTAAGTGTACAAGCCCATAAATCCTTAGAACTCTCTTCATTTAAAGAATCCGTATTAATTATTTTACAGACTATTTTTTTGAGAGATGAGAATAACAATTCTTTTAAGAAAATGTTTATGTCATGAAATTTCCCCCAAATCTTTGAGTGCCTATAGCCTAAAGGACACATTCTATTTTGTGAATGGATAGGTGTTCGGTAAGAGGTTTATAAATATAACTTTTTCTGCTTTCATTTATTTTAAGAAGATTTTTTCACCTCATGACAGTCATTTGGGGCTGACAGTGTTACCATGGCAACCGTGCTCCAAAATGCTGGTTGCCAGTAAATATTGATCCTTAGCACCTTTCACTACAGTGCTCACCCACTTCCCGGAAAGAGGCTTTGCTCAGAGCATTTAGGTCAAGGAGCCTACACCCAGTGGTGAGTAGGTATGATAACAGAAATTGACTGGATGTTCCTCCCAGGAACCAGTCTAAGGATTCCATTGAGAATCCTGGCTCAACCCACATCATTATGGCTTTGCATTTCCACAGAAACAGACAGGGCATAACTTTATTTTCTTTTCAGCTGCATCGTGAGAGCTCAGTAGCTCAGTCAGTGCATCACCTAAGACATTGAGGGAAAATTTCAGATGTGAATGGACTTGCCTTCCCCAGAGGCAAAGAAGTTTGCAAATTAATTTTCAAGGCCCTTATTTCATGATTTTGAAATTTAAAAAGAAAAAAAAATGTTTCTCCCTGGAAAGGGAGGGCAAGATTTTGGTCTGGGCAGTGCACTGGGAACTTAATGATTGACCCGGATCAGGTCCAGGGATGTCGTGGAGTATGCTGGCCACAGTTGTTCACCTTTGTCCTGTAAGCGGGGAGAGCCTCTGCCCTTCAGCAAGGAGCTGTGAGGATGAGAAAGGGGAGACTGGTTACAGAGAGAGGCTCTGAGAACTTAGCTTCCTTGCCAAGAACTAATGGACGGTCTTCAACGTGCATGAAAAATGCGCTCTGCTTGGGACCAGAGAAGCTGCAACAAGGCCTCCACAGACCTGATTCGGTGTCAGTCTATTGCGGTGTGTAAAGACCTGGATGCGCTTATTTTACTCTCTGCCATAACTGAGAAAAAAAACCAAACAACTGCAAAGGTTCAATGAGACAGCAGTTGGTCACGCGAAAGGAATTTGAACCGAGATAACGTTAGTTACATTCTATCCACGTGCTCCTGAAGCCCGTGCACTTCCAGTTGAACAAATGTGACTTGGCCTTTCATCATTAGATTAAAATGGAATCAGATCAGCATAGACTTTGTATAATTAAGAGAATCTACATATACACATGGGCACACAGGTGTCTTTTGGTAGGTTAAGAACTACTGACAGAGTTAAAGGATCATGAGACGTTTCCCTTTCTTATCATCTCTGTCCTGTGTCGGGGGGCTCATGTGTGTTTTAGTGAAATGTCCAGGGAGAAAGTGCAGTAGAAACTGTTCCCCTCTTACTTGTGGCAATAGCTCTCATCTGTGGCACTCTGACTGGGAGCCAGGCACGGTCCTTCAGTGCTTTACAGCAGGATTTTGTTAAATGCTCATTAACAGTCCTATGGGGTGAATGTGATTATAAGTCCCATTATATGTTTGTGGCAACTGAGGCACAGAGAAGGTAAGTGACTTGCCCAACATCACACAGCTGGTTGTACAGGTCCCATGTCCCTTGTGCAAAATGATGTACACCACAGCTCTCATCCCCACCTCCCACCAGCTTCACAGCTCAAGGTCCTCTGGGCAAAATACTGCAGCAGGGAGGGGAGAGGACGTCAGGCTGCAGTATGCTGGAGTGGAAAAAAAACAAAGGGAGGTCCTTAAAGTCAAGGCAAGAACAGTGTCTCTGAGGACAGTGCAATGTCTCACCAGTGAGGTAGTGGTCAACCTCCCCAGCCTCAGAGGCCTGTCCAGGGTTTCTTTGCCGCCAGGGTCACGTTGCTCAACTGCCTGTAGGGTGCTGCAGCCCTGGAAAGGAGCCCAGGCTGTCGGGCTGCCAGGTCCTGGCTGGTTTTCCACTCAACGACAGAGGCGAATGTCATTCCTCGGTAAGTTCTCCTTCAAATGACCTTTCCAAGATAAGTCCTGTCTGTTTCACTGTCTACGCTCCTCAGTATTTCTTCATCAGCACCAAAAGGACATATCCTCTCATATCCAACCAGTTCCCCGGTGTCCTTGGGTGCTGGGGACTGTTTGCGTTCCTAGGGGAGTGGAGTCATTCCCAGTATTGCCTTTCTGACAGTGTTGTGACGCCCAAGAAAAGACCAGCTTATCAGCAAAACACACCTCTTTTTAGTTGATGCTGCCTGTTTGCCCCAGAGAATAGAGCCCTGTGTGAGCCAAGTACTATATGGGAAACACTTGGGACTGCGATGTCACCATCTGTTGTCGGAAACTGAAAAGCCGAGGGGACATATGCCAACACCTTCTTTTGGAATTTATCTGCCCTCTCATTATAGGAACAGAGCCTCTTATAGCTCGGACTTTTCCACCATGTAGCATTTGGCTGTCAGGATAACGAATGCTCTGGCCCTGAAACGCGCTATCACAAATGTTTGTTTAGAATGAATATGACCAGACCAATCAACAAGCTTTCTAAATCCAAATCAAGCCCTCTGGGTTAAACCTACAAAGTCAGGTCTCATGGGTTTAGTTTTAAATTTAAAGCAATGCTTTAGAGCATAATTTAGCCCTGGCCAGTGTGGCTCAGTTGGTTGGGTGTTGTCCCATTGACGGAAAGGTTGCAGTCCAGGTTCCCTTGTCAGGAGGCGCCCAGTCCGTGCTTCTCTCCTGCCTTCCCCTTTCTCTAAAACCAATAAGCATGCCCCCAAGTGAGGATTAAAAAAATAAAAATAAAATGTTAATGCATAATTTACCTATTCCTCTGAAATCTAGAACTTCAAAAAACCCAGTTCAGAATAATTGTTCATGTCTGCCTAATGATGTTTTTATTTGAAAAGACATAATAGAAAGTAAAATTTTACATTTTTTACAATAGCTTTTAGTTTATTATTAAAATCAAAATAGGAAAATTCACGTGAAAGAACTAGATAATTCTGAAAGGTATTCTTTATATGAGGACACAAAGTAACACATTTTGTTGGCATTATCAGACTTTATTTGTATGCTCTGTGCAGGTGAGGTGGGGAGGAGATGTTTTGTCTCTATCTAGACAATAATTCACTTCATTGTTATTGTTTGACTTTTCCTTGTGTGTGCTCTTTATGGATGACTGCGCCCTGCAATGCTCTCTATGAGGCCTGAAATGTACAATTAGGGTCAGAAGAACTTGAGAGAATAAAAAAACTAATATCATTCTGGCCTCTCTCTGTTACTCATACCCAGGCAAAATCATACCTGTTATCCATGAAGATTCAGAGAAGCCCAGCCCTGACTCAGTTGCTGTTGCTGACCATGACTGTGTTGCTCTGGGCCACACAGGCCTCATCCATGGGGTTTAGAACATTTAGGACAGAAGGAAGTTAGGAACTGACTCTTGAAGAACAGACCTGTGTTGGAAAGCACATAGTTCCAGTAGTTCCAGGGAAAGACTAGTGAATGAAGAAGGGTAAATATGAATGGGGTCTAACTGGAGCCTGACACAGATGAAGTTCAAGTGTGCAATGAGTTAAATTGAAGCCAAGGTTCTCATGAAAGACTAATGGTATCTAATAAAAGACAGTCGCTGCTCAAAACATGTTTCTTAACTGAGTAAATCAGAAGCTGCTGGTCAGGGCTTCCTGGGTGGGGTGCAGTAGGGAACCAGTTTGGGATGTGAAGGGTCCATGGAGAGGGTAATTGCAGTTTGAACCAGGAGGTCTCCTTGGAAACAGGCACCAAGCAGCAGAACTAAACACAGAAGCCCAACTTGTTTGATAAGTAGGGTGGGGCAGAAATTGCTAGTTGCCTACCTTGTGTCTACTCTCCCATTTTACTGTAGGAACACAACCCAGATTTTAATCTGGGTGGCAAGGTACCCAGCTAAAAGACTACATTTGTCAGTCACATTTGTACCTGGACTGGCCATTGAGATACAAACAGAAGTTGTTGGGTGGGTATTTTGTGAAGACTCCTTGAAAGGGGCTAGACTACAAACACACTCATTTTTTTCCTTCTTCCTTCCTTCTGTACCTTCCTGGAACAGGAAGATCAATGTGATGGCTGGAGCTCCAGCTGCCACATTGGACCATGAAGTGAATCTGAAGATAGAAGCTATGTAAGAATAGCAGAAGAAAAAGAGAGAGGAAACCTGGGACCTTGATGACACGATAGCTCCAACACCAGCCAGATTCCAGCCTTCTCTCATATGATAGAGAAATACATTTCTATTTTGTTGAAATCACTGTTATTTCCTCATTCACCTGAGACAGCACAAGCCTAGGGATCTTGGGAAGGCTTTGACTAAAGAGTGAAAAATTAGGAGTTTTGTTTTTTGGTGTGTTTATTTAAGTTATGTAAGCTATAAGATAAAGGTAATTTAAGATGAAAAAAATACAGCCTCTGAGATCAGTTATAAAAAAGAATCCAGGGGTTATAATATTGGGTTGTATGTTTAGCTTAAACCAAAAAGAGGCTTTATTTGTCATGTCAGTGAAAAGCCCAGAAATCAGGTAGGCTTATATAGTAGCTGGATAAGTCAATGACGTCCCAGTGACTTCACGGTACCAGTCTGCCATGGCACTGTTTACCTTACCTGGAGCGGGTCTGCACTGGACCCGCCGATAGTGTGTGGGTTCTTGAGGTCATGCAGGAAAGATTTCACAACACAAATCCTGGTGTTTTTGAGAGTTGTTTATTACAGCTGAGGACAGTGAAACAAGGAAGGGCTTAAGGTAGAAAAAGCAACGAGAGAGATAAAGTCAGTGAAAAAGGAGGCCTTGGAGACAGGTTCAGGGCGTATGCTGGGGATGAGCTGCCTCTGCCCAATGCTCCCCTCTTTGCAAGTCTCATGGGGTCCCTTCCAGTTTAGGAGAAAAACAGCAGAATACAAGGCTTGGGCGTGCTCTAGTGAGAGCGCCCAAAGGTTCTTTGGTCCGCCCACCCAAATCCTAGGGGAGGGTCTTAACAGAATATTCATTATCTTTTCAAAGAAAGATGGGGACCAAGGCCATTCTGTCCTGGGACAGTGTAGAATGTGTAAACTATTTGCTCCTAAGTGCCCTTGATTAAGGAAGATAAAATCTTATGTTTCATTAGCTGGCTGTAAAGTGCTCAAATCATTTGGCCCTGTTTAATTATTTTGTCTCAGTTTCCTTTATTCCATTTGTCAAGGGATTTCCCTTGCTTCTTACTACCCTGCCACAGCACTGGCTTTATTCTTAGACTGACTCACCTGATGACCTCAAGATCCCAGAGGCCCTTGCTAAAGTCGCCTTGCATCTGGGCCAGGGGGCCATCTCCAAACCAGTATCTGTGGCAAGGATGGCGAGGACCATGGAGCCCACTGCATAGCTGAAGACTGCCAAGGTCCACCCAGACAACGGCAGCTACGTTAATCCCTCCCAACTGCATGGGTGGGAAGTATGGAAACTTGATGGGAAGGAGGGGGGAGGGAATGCATGTGGGGAGGTCATTCCGTGTCCTGTATCTCTCCTGGCCATTCTCACCAGGTAGTGTTATTTAAAAGTTTTCCACTTTTAAAAAGGCAAAGGTCTTTTGCTCCCAAATTCATTTTTACTAGCCAGTATGCCAACATTGGTTTGGGGTAAGGCATGGGATTTCCAGAGAATCTTTGCTCCTCTTAATGTCATCCATTACTGGTCATTCTGGGATACTGGTTCTGTGTGATACAACCAGGTCTTGCCTGAGAGGATGGGCACATATTAGGACATTATGACTAGTGGCTAGCCCACGGGGGCACACATACTCTCTATGAAGGTCAGAAGCAAGTATGAGGGTGTGGGAAATAGGACAGATCAGCCTTGCTAGTGATGAGGAAACGGAGGGGGAGCTGGGTATTGGGATGCCCAGAGACAGTGAACCTGTGTGGGCCCCTCACCACGGCCCCTGGGGAGGTTGTTGGTTCTATGAACCTGAGAAAGGGAAAGCAGGATGTGAGGGGAATAAGTAGGGGCTTCAAACTGTGACTGTTTTGCTGTTTTACCAGGGCTGGCTTTTTGATTGGGCTTCTGAGTCCCCCAGAAGTCTCTGGGTAGAGTTAGTGGTTCTTCATTTGGGCTTTATGGGTAAAATGTTAGGAAGTGAGAGAAATTCCTGAAACTCCCGGGGAGAATCTTTCCCAATCCAGCTAGTCTGCTGCTCTCCTGATCCTGGAACAGCTTCCTGGGCTTTTCAGTTTATCATGACACAATTCTTTCTTTCTGCAAGAGTCAGGGAATAAGGGCTTCGTAACCCAAATAGTTCACACAGCATGCTATTTGTCTCTATTTAAAATCATCTCCTGTGGGGTTCAATTAACAATGTACATGTCAAATTATGTCACACCCATTCTTGCTCTAATTTGGTTAGGCTGGGTCAGGCAGTCCCTGAACTGACAGAGCTGTTCACCTCCCAGCATGCCAGCACAGCTGCAGTGCCCGACTGTCCTTGGCCTAAGTTGCATCAGGGCGTAACATCCACTACGAAGTATCAGGCAGTGCTACAGGAAAGGTCAAGCTCATGACGACAGCGGCCTGTCATCAACCCCCTGTGTCAGATCTTTGCCCCTAGACACTGAAGTGTGTGGGCTTGAATCATGGCTCTGTCATTTAGCAGACATGTGATCTTGGGCAAGTTGTTCAAATATTTTGAGCCTTGTTTTACACATCTGTAAATGGGAATGCTCACAACACTTTGTTTATACGAGGATTAAATATGATAATATATATGAAGTGTTTGGCAGAATGCCTGTACTTAATAACAACTCGGCGCTAGCTATTTATTAGTAGTGGTAGTATTTAATTTCTTATCTTGTTCAGTCCTTCAAAATTGGGGCTCCTCCCATGATCGCCCACAGGAAATATTTTACCAGACCTCCAGAAACCAAGAGAAGGCAGACAGCCCTTCCTGGAGGACAGGCAGGGTAGCCAGAAAAACCGCAATGATATTTTGACATCCAAATTATTAAAAATGTAGCAGGAGTGACCTGGACTTCAAGAATAACTTTGTGTGGGTACAGAAAGCTTCTTTTTCTCCCCAGGAGTGAATCACCAGATGCCTTTGTGTGGCCATTCAATCAGTCTGCAGAGCGCTGAACAAGCAGACATAAGGGTGCCAGTCATTCTGTCCATGGTATAAAGAGGTAAAGCGAGGCACAGAGAAGTCTATACTCACATACACAGTTCTTTCCCCCACCTTGCAAAGAACAAGTGAAACTGTGGTAACGATAGAGCTGGAAGCAGAATCTCCTGCTCAGATGACTTGAGACTGAGACATCTGGGTCATAAACCACAGCGGAAGCCAATATGGGGAAATTATCTGGAGTTACTTTACATACACAAAGACTATGCTTCTGACCCTCTTTTACATTCAGAATCTCTGTGTAGTCTGGAAGCCCCTTTGTGAGCACATCCAGGAGGAGGTGGTGTGCTATAGAAAAAGCCCTGGGTTACAGTCAAGAGACCCAGTCCTGTTGAACCAGCTGAGTGGCCTAGGAAAAGTTAAGTAACCTGGGATTATATTTCAGAAACAGAGGTGAAGGCTTTGGACAATATCAGTGGTTCCCAAACCTCCTGCCTGCTCAGGAGAATCAGTGTGTGCGTGTGCGTGTGTGTGCGTGTGCGTGTGTGTGTGTGTTGGGGGAAGGAGGTATGAGAGCTGCAGCCTGGGAACCTGTATTTTGAACATGGTCTACGTGATTCTGAAGAGCAGCCACAACTGGTAACCCCAGAGCAGATGTTGTTTAAGATGCTCACAGGGGTCTGATGTTTTCTGACTCTGGAGCCCCTTTTAGCACATTCCACACTATTCAGTCCAGAGGAAATGGCAGCGCTCATAGTGGACCCCCATGAGAAAGTCAGTGTGTGACTTCAGGGAGCAGCCAGGGTGGCCCAGTGTCCTGCTCCAGGGGTGCCAGGTGCGCTTGGGCTCCGGGACAAACCTGTTTTTTGGCTGGTCCAGCTTTGGAGCCTGAGAATAGGGCTCTCTGGGGCCAGCAGTGCTTGGCCCTGACTGTGATCACCTACTGCCTTGTTCCTGAAGATGTGGGCCCTGTCACCACTGTGCTGTGGTCTGGGACACAGAGTCAGCCTCGAGTCTGAAGAGCATGTCAAGAATCCTGACAAGTAGGCCTTGCCTCAGTGAGGCAGGTCTACTTCACACGAGCTTTTGAATGCAGTTACGTGTCTCCAGTTGTCCCAGGACTGTGGAATGCTAAGGCTAAAGCTGCCTTTAGCTCTTTTTTTGAAAGTTTCAATTATGGCTTAATCCTGACATTCTTTGGCTTTAGTAAATGGGGAGGAGGCTTTTATGTTTTACATAGTGGCTCCCAGGGCTGACTTTAATCTGGAATGTGTGTCTAGACTCCCTCGGAGTGGCAGAGAGAACAGGGGAGTGGTGTCCCCTCACTGCCTGCAGGGTACCCAAGCAGGAATGGGGGCAGCATGCACATGTGCTGTGGGGAGGAGAGGAGAGGGCATTTTCTTAAAAAAATAAATCAACATTTATTTTTTAAAAAAGGAACTTCCAGTCAAGATGGTGGCATAGGTAAACATGGCTTTGCCACCTCGCACAATCACATCAAAATTACAACTAAAGGAAGTATAGAACGACCATCACTCAGAAACATCAGAAATTGACTTGAATGAAAGTCTGACAATTATAGAATTAAAGAAACAACATCCATCCAGACTGGTAGGAGGGGAAGAAATGTGGAACAGGCTGGTGTCAGATCCACATGTGGTAGATAAAATTTTGGGGGGGTATCTCGGGAGCGAGGAGTCCCAGCCCCACACCAGGTCCCCCAACCCAAAGTTCCAATACCAGGAAGATAAGTCTCTATAACTTCTAGCTATAAAAACCAGCAGGACTGAGTTGGTGGAAGACATTGCTGGAGTCCCAAGTGGTTCCTCTTCAAGAACCCACACAAGGACTTACTCAGACTCACTCCCTCTGAGGTCTGGCACATTAGGGTAGCAGCTTGAAAGGCACCAGGGGCACACAGGGAGGAACTGAAGTGTCTGACATCAACGTGGGAGATGGGGGACAGTTTTTTTCTCAGACAAAAAATGGCAGGCAGAGGCCATTGTCCTTTGTTGGGCCCTTCCCTAACAGAACTACAGAGCCAGCAGGTGGGTGCCGTATCTGAAACACTATCAACCTGGCTAACATTGTTTTCCCTGCCTTGGAGATCCTCTGAGACTCCATGACACCTAACTTGTGAGCCTACCCAAGTTGTTAACTGTGAGTTTTCCATAAGAATGGCTGATTTTGGCTCATGCTTCACAATTCCTTAAATCACATCAAACAAGCAACAGCCAATCTAA